GAAGGCCTTAACCCAGATCCCCATGTCGATAATTCTATTGAGTAAATATTTTGATACTACGTACATTAATGGAAAATGGACAAAATTATATAGGTGGGTGTACCTAATTCATTTTAGTAAAATAGTTTGCTTCAGTTTTAAATTTTAACTCTCTGATATTATTATAATGTTATATTATATTATTAGAATAGTTAAATAAAACACCTCGATACAATGTAATACATTTCAAACGGTAAATAGTTTTTTGTTATGCAGACATCGAGGTGCCATTTTTGGAATCCGCTTTATAATATAATACATTGAGAATAGAAATGGTGCTTTATAAGGCTCTATAACGCGATCTGCCGAAGCAGTGATATAATTATATTGTAAGTGAATATATTTTGTTCAATAGATGGCGTTATACAAAACGTCAGACGAACGATAAATTATTTTGTGACTAAAATATTATAAAAACAATATTGTCTTAAACAATAACTGTGCATCTTACCGCCTTACCACGGATGGTAAACAATATATTATTTGCAACTGTATGGATGAAAGGCTTTTGTAGTGTCAGCCACTAGCCACTACATCAATGATTAAACTAAACAAAAAACTAAAAACAGTTAAAAAACACACATAAATCTAGTATCTTTAAAATATCAAACTGAGAATTTAAATTACATCGAAATTGAAAAAAAACCCGTTCTTTGATGTGGAAGTTAAAACAAATAGGTATCTATCTAGATAATTGGCTATTGGCATTTTTTCATCATTATTCAAATTCATTATTTATAACTATTCATGCAAATATTTGATTTTAAGTAGTCTTTGCAAAAATGTGCAGGTAATTGATTTAAAAAAATATGTTTTATTAGCATATTAAGCTCGGGATATAATCTTTATATCGAAAAAAACTTTTTTAATATACTTTAATCTAAAAAGGTTATTCGTTTGAATTCAAAACAAGTTTGATGCACGTAAATAAACAAACATTTACTTATTCCCTATCACGGACAAAATTAATAACAAATATTGGTTTAGTATGTTTCGCTACATCTGACAGTGCAAGAATAGAGTGAGTTGAATATTATATCGGGAGGAGGTGCACGTGGTTACTCTTCATTAACTTTGAAAGTCGAAGTGCTTAGGTACCTGTCGATTTAATTATTATGAAAACCGTGTGCACACGTCGTCGGCTCCCTACCTAAGAGCAAAAAAAAAAATTAACGAGATCACGAAAACCAATTACTATACAATAGAATATTCTCAACAGTTGTACAATAAATATATATTAATACATATTTATAAAGGATTTTATAGTACATATTTTTTTTGCATTTAAAATTTTGTTTAAAATGACATTTATAAAAACATTAATTTATGTTGAAATTATTAAATAAGTAAAATAATTAATAAATTATCAATATTTTTGGTATAATGTTATTCATTAATCATTATACACTAAGTAGTATTATTTTAAATACTAATTTTATTGAAAAGTATTTAGATTTTCAGAAACACCACTTTCTTTACATAACTTAGCTAAGTAACGAGTTGTTGCTAAGCAAAATGTTTGAAAAAAATTACATTTTTGACTTACCATCACTCTTTTTTTTTAATTTTTTTAATGACAAGTAAATGTTTTTAATTTCATATTTCAAAGCAAAATATTTTTTTTTAAGATTGTCAATACACGAAAATCGAATATAGGAATATATTAGTGAAACAGATAATTAAAAGTATATTTTATGTGCACATGGCTCGTCAATGTATAGAAACATAACGGGAAAATAATAGTACCATCATGACTGCTCCCGAATTCAAAATTTGTTTTATGGTTTATAATGGAAAAACGAAGAAAGTCGAGGGAAATATAATATAACGAAATAATTATTTTAAGGTAAAGAGACTAATAGATTCATATAACAGTTTGGCCGAATAATTGAAAAAAAAAATGTAGCGAAGAGAATACTAAAACATAATAATATGGAGTATGGATATCCATGGATGTGGTTAATAATACTTGTTGTATGGAAACACGCACTTCTATACTTTTATTAATACTAATATTAAAACGATGAAATATTTCAAAAACAGTCTACCCCAGTGTTAGGTACTGTTGTTACGGCTCGCGATCAACTGTTTTATGAACATTTCGTGTTGAAACCTACTAATATTAAAACTGGTGTTCTACTATTAAATAATTGTATCACAATAAAACAAATGGTAGGCCCGGGTGCCAGCATGTACAATTATGAAAGACATGGGGTGGAAATCCTTCACGAACCTATTAAGGACGTAACGCTAAGCAAACGGTTGTTATAATATACATAATATTGTGTTGTCGAGAAGTAACAACAATTAGCCAAATCTTATAATAATGAAATTTTCCACAAGACGACGTATCATTCAAGCGAGAATCGATGTGATGACTAAACACCGCGTAGGCATTTCCTCTCTGAACCCAAAAGTCACTCCATTGGAACCCAAATCTACAATATTATAAATCTAGAAGGAAGTTCAACTGTTCGTATCAATTATTATCAATATCTGTTACTTTAATTTTTCCATTGCAATCAAGCTCAATGTATTGTGTTGTGCGTGTTGGACATGTTTTTAGTTTTATTTTATCTAATCAAATTTTGTTAGAAACTGCACACACAGGGGTATGTATACCATATAAAAACAGTCCAGTAAAAAACTGAATTAACACAGTTTTGAGCACTAAATAATCGTCACCAAAAATGGGAAAAGGAAAAAAAAAGCTAGATTATCGTAAAAGAATGATTCAATATGGTGATAGAGCCAAAACCCCTAGAAAGTGGGAAAAATATAACGAAACCGCTGAGATATGTCAAAATATGCCAAAATATGTCAACAATAAAATAGATGATCATTTTATGAATGTATTTCAGTGTTAACTTATCATTATTTTTTAAACTATTAATAACGACAAATCACTATTTTTATATAATTTACATATTTTTATTTCCATATTTTATATTAATTTGGACTATTAAGTTTCAATAATAATTATGTATGTTTTGTATAATTTATTAAAATAGGTAAATTATATTGCTTTTTTTCATTTAACGACAAATTTACCAAACAGACAATGCTACTACCATTATTACTATTTACTGTAAAAATATATATTTTTTTATTAATTTGATACAAAAAGGTCTTCAAAAAAAAAAAATAAAAATGAAATAAAGTAGGTATGTAATTTAATTTATATTTTCTCATTTTTTTAACAGTAAAACGCGTTGAACACAGTTAGAATATAAATACGCAGTTCGTTATTCAGTTTTTACATTTTTGTATTTATACTAAGGTAGACATCTAAAACATTTATGATTTATCATAATTCGTAATAAATCATTAGGTGTCGCATAAATTGCTTGCGTTTGGACTAGAACCGATCGATTGTCAATGATTCATCTATTAACTTGTTTTTTTTGGTGATCAGACGTCTTAGCCAATAGGAAATCAGTCAAAATCAGGCATTTCAAGTAAATTTCAACTTACACAAGTCTGAGTGCCAATTATATTTATGACAAGACGTTACACATTAGCGACATTATGCGTCACTTGGGATGATAAAATAAAAAATATAATATACGATTTTAAAATAATAACTATTGTACAGTACAAATTTTATTCAACTTCAATATTATAAATCGATGTAATCACAATGATAATTATAAACAGTGTGCTCACGCGACAAAATCACACGACATAAGTAATAAAACATTATCCAGGGCCAATTCAGTTTTTTTAAATAAATATTATATATATTTATATAACGACAAATATAAAAAACAAAATCACTTTCAGCACTTACGTTACAATAATATTATAAAGTGGATACTAAAACATTAATAACATATTATATTATGACGACATTATATTACCTATGGTTGAAATCGTTTAAAATGAAATTCTTAATAACTATAGCGACACACTAGGTATACACAACTACGCGCTTAAGTTATTATCATCGAGAAGCTGGCGAGTTAAGTGCTTGCCAAAAGTTATTGTCATTTGACTACAAAACAATGTAACACGTCATACATTTTCGGAGATGATACCGACATGATTATCTACATAGGTACCTACTGATGTTAGACTAAAATAAACGAAATTTTTAAATTTAAATCGCTAAGATCAGTCTAGAATGAACCGTGTCCAAAAACTTATATCACTTTGATTCCGACATACAATATTTGTCATTAATATTATTCTATTACCACTTCCACCTGTCCAGAGACCATTTAAAATTTGTCGTACACACTCAGCGTGCATACACATTTTAAATAATAATTTTCCTTCTTGCGCTTGTAAAAGTTAATCTTGGGATATTTGTCTTAACTTTATTAATTTACTACTAAAATTATTAAGTTTGAATAATATTATATTCGTGATAAGAAAAATATTGCTATAAAATATTGTCTATACAAAAAATAAATAATTCGCTAAATAAAATTGCACATAGGTACTTATATATAAGTTTTATGTAAGCAATGATAACAAAATAAATAATTTTAATTACACATAAGGAACGAATTTAAAAAATGAGTTTTCAATGTCCTTTTCAGCAAATACGAAAAAGGTACAAAGGAGAACAATGGTTCTCTTAATAGTAATAGTTATTGATCATAATATTATATTGTTATTATTCAAATATAATGAAGATGTTTCAATGTTTTTCTACATTTCTTAACAATAAAAAAATGTAATAGGTATAAGTTAATTAAATCACCTATAGATATTACGATGAAAGTGTAATACTTATTAGATATTATCAATAATTCCATTTATAATTATTGTTGTCGTATTATATGGATATCATATTGCTAGAATAATAATATTTTTATACAAATATTAATTTTAAACGTACATATAATAATTAATAAAAGTACAAATGATGTGATTATTATATGTATTGCTTATTATATATTTGTATATCGATAAACAATGTTTTTTTTTATGAATGCATGCGACGACATAGAAAATAAATTATACCTATATTTTTTTTTTTTCGTTAATAATTATTATAAATTGTGTTTTTTTGATTTTGATTTTCGTTCACATAAAATTTATATTTGTTGAAGAATGACCCACCTCCAATAAATTGTCTGAACTATTAGCATGAAATATCTAAAGAAATAATGAGTTGTTAAGGACCATAATAATATAGAGTTTGACAAAATACTCACCAAATGTACAAATTAATTTCGGTTGTAAAATATTGAAATGTAAGTACTCAATTTCAAAAATATTTCACTTTTCTGTTTTAATGTCAGTACCTACGTCCTACGACTATTGAATGTTTCATCGAATAACAAGGGTATCGAGCTCGTCAGTTGTATTTGCCAACAATTTCTTGATAAGCAGTTTAAATCAACAGTATATTATTATTTTAATGTCATACAGAAATACAGAATGGTCAAGAACTAAGCTGTGGCAAAAAAAAAAAAATCATTATAATGATGAACTAGAACCATAAAATGCATGATGAAAAATATTATAATAATACTATGCGATCTATTAAATCACATTTACATATTGTTATAGTTTTGTGTAAAAGATTACAAAATGTGTACATGTGACGTTGGTGGTGGTTTTTTTTACAATGTATACAATACGTTTACGTATCACGTTTTAGTAGTTTCATTATCATTATTAAGTATTTAAAAAAGAAAAGCGTATTGTACAACACAATATTATTATTATTGTAGTTATGAAAAATTGAATCGAATTCAACTATAACCGTAAGCAAAAATAATTTTTACAAATAACAGTAGGTAGGTAATAAATTAGTTAGATCACAGATTCAGCCAATGACACATAATAGTACTATAATAATATTATGTAATTAAATTATTTTATACAATTTAAGGATATTATTATAAGAAATAATATCGTTTTATGTAATAGGATAAAATCGAAACCAAGCAAATTCGTTGAAACAATAATATTATTTAAGTATAATAATATGACGTCAACGCAGGTCTATAATATTATCATAGTAGATACCTAATAGATATCTGATATCGATTAAATATAAAAATTTTAATTTAAGGGGCAAACATATTATTTAACTACTCGCTACTGTATTCGTATATAAATAAAAAAATAATTTTATACAATAAAAAAAGTCCAATAACGTCAACTGTTTTCCGTTAATGTATGGCATATCTGCTTAAAGTATATTATACTATTTTTGATTACAAAAACGATCGCCGCAAACATTCGTGTAATGCCGACGATCCAAACGTATAATATGACGTGTCACTTTAAAATTTAATAAAATAAAAGAATATAATAGTAAACAAATAAATAAAAAATAAAATGAACACATCTTCAACAATAATAATAAAAAAAAAAATAATAATAATACAATACACGAATATAAAATATTATTACGAGCGGTCGTTTTACACGGAAGCCTCGTCGATGACCGTGATCATCCTGCTGTTGTGTCCGGCGACCAGCCGCCACTTGCCACCCCTGGCCGTCTCCTCTTCCGCCTGTTTGGCCAGTGACCACCTGCGGCCCTTCCGGTCCATGATGACCGGCATCTCGGCGATCAGGTTGTTCTCGAACTCGCTGAGCATCAGGTAGTTCTCCACCTTGTTGCACGACGTGATGCAGTCGCCGATGTAGTCGAGATCGTCGAGCAGGTTGTCGGGCAGGTCCATGTCGGCGATGCCCTCCTCGGAGATGCACGTCAGCTCGGGCTTGTCGTTGGGTCCACCGCCTCCGCCCCCGCCACTGCCACCACTGCCGCCACTGCCACCCCCGCCCATCATCAACCCCAAACCGGCGGCGCCGCCGATGAGCCCGACGCCCTGCATGTTTAGGGGAGGTTCCATCACCACCACCTCCTCGGGCTCGACGGTGAACGACAGTCTCCGACGCTGCGGACACGAGTCCGACACGCACAGCTTCTTCGTACCCGACTCGTTGTGCTTGTGCCGGGCCACGTTCCGCCGATGCAGGTCGATGAAGAACATGGTCAGGCTGCCGAGCAACACGCACGCCGAGCTAAAGTAATAACCCGACTTGGAGCCGTAGCCAATGTTGATGTAACCTGGATGCGACAAAAAAAAAACGGTTAGACAATAATATAATAATATGTGATATCCAAGCGAACTATTTTTTGTTTTGACCTAGAAAAACTACCCAGTTCTTGCCCAGTTCTCGCTTTTGGGTGAAACCACATTAAAAACGTATTTCCGATGATAACGTAGGTAGGTAGGTACCATATACTCGGACGTTATAATGACCATGCGGTAAAATATTATATAGTTTGCCCGCGCCAAATGTTTTCAGACGAAATTACCATATTATCGCGAAATTATACGTTTTTGTGTTGTGCGTTGCCGAAACGATGGGTTCAACCCGAACTCAGCTGTTGTGCGTTATTGCGATATTACGGCGGCCAACATTACACGTGGGCCCATATATATATATATATATATCATATTATTTACATTATATTATATATATGTATATGTACATGTGAATATGGTAGTATATATAGACGCCGCGCGGAATATATTATTATAATAAATGCGAGCAAGTGTGGTAACACGCGGTAACGTTGCGAACGGCGTTCGAGGACTAGATTTACGCGAGTATTATACCAATAACCCAACGATATGATGTTATATTATATTACACGTTTCCATGTACATGCGTATGGGACGTATTTACTACGTCATTAGGTCGCGAATAGGTACGTTTTCTTTTTTTTTTTTTTTCGAAAAACTCGACTTCATAGTCGTTAAATTTTATGACGCGTGGTCGAATATTATAACGAACGGCATCGGTTGCTCTCGTGTTATAATGATAATAATATCAACAACAAAAACACTGTGCGACGAGCGAGCTTTATTATTTCTATGACCTCTGACTGTACGATATATGCACCTCTTTGCTGCGTCGTATACAAAGAGTTCGGAACCGGAACCGGAACTACGAGTAACGCGAAACCGACCGTAGATTTCGAGACGTCTGCGTAATGTTTTTAATCTGAACCCTGTGATGCACAGATATCACTATAGTTATGTCGTGTTAATTGTCCGGTGAAGAACCCTACATCTGCTACTATCATTACTTTCGATTTTTTGCATTTCGTTCGGTTCCGTTAGATATTATACATAATATAATTACATAGCGACCGGAGGTATAGTAAAATTAATTTTGTAAAGGGTTCCTTGTATGACTTACCGGATATGGGCACCCCTAGGGCGATGGGTATGGCCTGAGAGCACTGGACGAAGCCCCAGGTGCGCGCAAAGTTCCGGGCCCGGACCCGCTCGTACGTGTACATCTTGAGCGAGTAGTGGTACCCGCCGCAGAACATGCCGTACACCCAGGCGAACATGACGTACCCCTGCCGGTCGCCGCGGACCGTGGTCAGCGCCAGTATGGACACGCCACACATGAAAACGGAAGCTTGGCACAGGTACTGCCTGGCGATCCGGCACTCCACCGAGTTCCGGACGACGATCAGCCCGAACGCCACGCAGCCCACCGTCCAAGCGAGTCCCATGTGCACCTGCAACGTCAGCGCCGAGTCACCGAGTCCGTCCTCTTCGGCCTGGTGAGCCTGAAAAATCGATTAAAATTAATACGATATTTCGAGTGGTTAATAATTATATATTAATAATTTAATTAATATGTATTTTTTCGGTCTGAGCTAGTGTATCGTTTTTCGTTCTCTAGCAGTGTTATCGTGCGCATGCGAATGCACAACCCTCGTTCCCTATATTTTATTCTGTCCATCGTATTTTATCGTATTTTTGTTGATGTTGCCAAATGAAAAAAAAAACATTTGTAGCATTCGCGTAAAGTACCTACGCCAAATGGCACCTCTATATATGTCTGAGCCCGTGTTCCGCAACAGTCCTAACCTAGCCTAGCCGAAAACGTTTCGTTTCTAGGGGATCGTCGAGTGCAGTGAATTCGAAACTATTTTAAATCAAAACCATACTATTATAACCGACCTACACACACACACACACACATACACACGCACACACACATTATTTATGTACGCAATGAAGTTTTTATGTGGGTACGCTGAATATTTATAGAAGGCTGATCGGAGAAACTATATCGGAGTCCTTGGGCTTTGGTCGAGGGGCGGTGCAGCCTGAGCTCCGGACAAGCTATATTGCTACCATCACCACAATAATGCTTAATATTATGAACTATATATTGTGTATAATTACGAGTATATAATACAAGTAACGTGGAAATGTATTAAACGACGGGACACATACGACGATACGTATAATAATATATTTTCTGGAGTCCATTAAAAACGAAACGATCGCGAAATACTTTACGAGATTTATATCATGATGTTTATCCTTTATATACACGTATACATTATATTATTATATGCACACGACTCTATACACTAGGTCGAGTGCTTTACTACTACGCTTCGGTCGTTAATATTGCTCCGCTACTACAACTAGGACATAATATTATAATATATATACTACTACTGTACACACACACACGTCATTGTATAGTACTCTATGCGGTCTCGGGGTTAATGTTTTTCGCCACAGGAATTCATTGGTCCCGTTTAATAATAATATAGTAATATATTATTTTCTCAAAATAATAAAATTAATGTTAAGTTAATCGTATTCATCGTCGTCGTCGTCGTCGTCGTCGTCGTCGTATCCGCAATCAAAGGTACGCCTCCGAGATACAATTAAAACGTCCTTTCCCACCCCCATCACAGTTGCGTTGTGGGATACAGGATGGGAGAGGGGCCGATTATAATTGTAACGATATCTGCCGTAGCTACATGTCCGCGTTTATATAACATATATAATGTGTGTGTATATTGTGAACTCGTTGCACTCCGGGTATTTCGCAATCAAAAATTATTTTATGCGTTCGAAATCCAGTCGTAAACCGAACAAATAACTTTAGCGTTGTAAAAGCCCATAAAACAACTGGACGACTAATCCTTTTTTTTATATTGGGTTGACGAACGAGTGCGCATAAATCGTGTCCAGTCGTACGGCGGCGGCGGAAAACTTTACTTTTATCTTGTTTTTATCACTTAATTACGCCTAAATCTAAAACTTCTATTGTTTTTAAGTGCTCGTCTCGCTGGTATAATTTGTTCTCGTTTAGGTTCTTTTCGAAGTACTCGCAGACAGTATTTCGAACTATTTTAGTAATTTATTTGATTCCGTCGGCCAAATATTGTCTATTCGCAGTTTTTAGGCCTGTAACTTAATTTAAATTTTAGTTTGTTGGACACTTCGCCAACGTTCAAGCCGCTCGTCCGTTGAACAGCGATAATCAATAATGAAAAACTGTTTGTTTCGGTGTATTAAACAATATAAATACATAGTTTTTGCATAAGTGTGACTGAACGATGTGATCGATACAATATTCGAATGAATTTATAGTCGTCCTAAACATACAAAAAAAAAGAAATTGAACACTGTGAAAGTACCTATACTCCTATACTCGAACAGTTACAACTGCTCATGCTGTGGACCTACATATTTTTCAGTGAGACGAAACAAAATATGACAACAATTAGGATGTCTTGAATTCAATTTGAACGTTTTGAACACACACGCATCATGTATGAAAAATATATAATACTTGAATAAACAAGCGGAGAGACAAAATGTATAAGAAAAACCCTGTCTACCGTACCGCGTTGCCATAATACGGAATGCATGCATGAAATTGATAACCGCCATCACAGTCGAGTTGTCGTTATTTAATGTTTTGTCAGTAGCGCCGTAGTGGGATGTGTGGGTTTACGTATGTGTGAGAGTGCGTGTGTGTATAGTCGCTCCAAAAATAAAACTCCAAAGTGTAACCAATATGAAATATGATGACAATCGAAAAGCGTAACGTTGAAAAATTAAATTTTATTCCGATCGCATTCGGTGTGTTTGGCAAAAGTTTATCAACTCCGGAAATATATTGATCTCTTCCTTTCTCCTGCAGCGATTCCACCGCTATCGTCGTCTTACCGCTTCCAAATCGCCGGCCGCGATAACGCACACTGTAAGTGGTGGTAGCAATTTTATAATCATCTTTCAGAACTGAGGGGATTGCATAATGTGCATAGTAAAATGTGGTACACATAGCAGCTGAGTATAACATACATGTACGTTCAAATATTTACCTACACACACAAATAATTCAAACACAAAGCTTTATTCTGAACATCTCAGCGTTCATTAAGGGTTTCGATATTTAGTTTCATAGATCTTATACTACTAGACAAGTTATGAGTGTATAGAAAGCTTAACGACATCGATCGCGCTTTTTGTTTAATCTATTACTAATGCGTAGGAAATGGAGTAGTAGGGTAAGATATAGATCATTTTATTTAAGACAACCCATGCCAGGTTGATATACCGCTCGTAATACTGTTGTTATACACAGTTCTTGTCTACTAGTATATGGGGTTAACGTTTTGTTTATACTTTATACTTTAGCAACAGATTATTGTTTTATTATGCAAATGTATATGTATTGTGAACGTAATCGAGACTCATATTATAATATACCTAATATGATCAAGCCCCAAACCGTGATTATTACATGCGATTATATACAATTTACTAAACGCATCATGATACATATCGAATTGGCACTGCACGTGTGTGGTAATATAACTATTATAACCGATATTGGTATATCATATTATAATCGTAATCCAAACGTACGACACTGACCAGGTAGAATATCGGAGTGTTTATGCCGAACGCACTGATGCCGGTGGACACGAGCAGGATTCGGACGGTCTTGCTGCGGAGAGTGGTGAAGTCGATGAATGGTGGCCGGTCGTCGTGCCGGTTCTTGTCCTTGATCTTCCGCTTCTGGTTCTTCAGGTGCAGGATGGCCCGTCTCTGCGGGTGGTATAGAGACGCCGACCTGTAGCACGTGCCCAACAGGAAAGTGGTGAACACCGTGGCGGTGACCAGCTGGAGTCCAAGTCGCCAGCCGATGGCGCTGCAACACAATCGTCATATTATTATGTAAGTAGGCGCACCGTGAAGTTGTTTTAATAATATTATTGATGAACGAGAATATTCGCGCGAGATACGAAGATAAATTATCGCGACGACCGGGAAAGGTCGTTGAAAAATAATGGATTTTAAGAGACAGACACGAACTAGACGATCACCGTGATCCCATCACGGAACGGATTTTAATTTTTCAATTTAAATTCCCTACGGTCGTTTTGTTCCGCTTATTTCACGAAATTTAAAAATATCCATCATATAAAATATGCAACGGCGAGCAATTTTTTTCGGTGAGCAATCTATAAATTTAAAATATTGATTGTTTCTGTACTTACTCTTAAATACACTTGTAAATATACACAGACTATTACACTGATATTAAAATAATATTTAAAAGCGTTATTAGAAAAAAATCATCAATTATTGTATAGAAGTCTAAACATCCACAGCTTATACCATAGCATATAATATTATAAACAGCAGTAATGACAAATTTCTTATTTTCCAAATAAACGGATTTTAATTTATTGGTAGGTATTTTGTAGATATACCTTCTTGATCTTTATTTTTCGTTTATTAAAGTTACACTTTCAAGCACTGCTTTTATGCATAAAAGACTACTGGAATATTGTACTGTTTATAAACTCCATTTTTTCATCAAAAGTTTGGTAACAACCTTTTTTATTTAACTATACATATACAACTGTAATTCTTTATTCTATCTATATGAATATATGATGAAGTAAGTACCTAAGTTTTGTTGTTAGAATTTAGTTAAGAAGAAATTTGGAGGACCGTAATTTATTAAGGGTATAGACCAAGTATAGAACAGCTTTTGGTTTATTAATATTCAATTTGTAATATTAAACTCAGTGCACAATTTTGTATAAATTATAGTGGTGTTTGGCAGAGAGGTGTTTTCAAACTGTACATTTTTTTTAAGAAACTAAAAATTAGTAAAATAATTGAGAAAAAATCGGAAATTGACCACAGTTATAATATAACACCTGGATATCGTATAAAGTTTTTGAACATCATTAATGATAGTTTTTTCTGGTAAACCAAAATTATACCAGTTTAATTTTCGAAATGTGATAATATTGTCGTACAAGAATTAAAAAAAAAAACATACACCAATTTCCTATTCCGAGTTGAGTGAAGCCATAAAAAGGGAAAAATGTCAAATATTCAGTATACGAGTATAATCCTAAATAAGTACTTTTTACATTGATGGCAGTGGTATTGATTTTACAATGATGTGTGCTTTCGTGATTTTTTTTTTCCGGATAACGCGGGAATAAGAAAATATCGAGAGAAGATCGTGGAAAACCACAAAATAACAGAAAAAGAACTTAAGCAAGTGCGGTTTTACATAAATCTTGACCATTTTTGGCTTGGCTCCTCTCAGAATCGTTTTTTGTGATTTATCACGGCTTTTGAGTGTAAATAAAACACCAAACTCCAGTATCAGCACTTTTTAAATAATATTGTTTGCCCGTCGTTATCTCTGTATAGGAATATTATTAATGTATTATTTTCAATGAAGATATCATAGTGAAAGGTTTTGAGTTCGAAAGAACAATTTACAATTCTATATGACAGACCGAAGGAGAACTCATCCTAAGATACGCGTCCAATACCTATAATATTATAAGTATTATAAGCTATATAGTTTTTAAAAAAATGTCATTCATGAAAGAACGGTGCACCGTTCGGTATTGGCAAGATATAAAATGTTTACTTGATATCAAAAATAAACTATTATTTAAAAATGTATTATATAGTATTATACTACATACTACTGGAATGCCGTAATGTATTTTTTAAATCTTATAACTAAGTTTTATAAAAGTAAAAAAGCATTTCTATCGTTAATTTTTATAATAAAAACTTTTTTTGACAAAAATAAAATTTGAACTCTTAAAAAGTGTATGGAGATTTGTGTTATTTTTCTGTGCTTGGTATAAATTAGTTTACCTCATAAATGCTCAGCTTAAATGCTCAGCTAAATCTACTGAGATATTTTTATGAATTATGAATCATTATACGCATCGATTATGTGAAATAGTATATCATAATACTATTGTGTAACAAAACATTCCAACATGCATAACATATGAACATTTTAATATTGTGTACAGTTTTAAATAAAAAAATATGTTGAATGTTTTGTAGTGGTTTGAAACTATTCACTTCTAGGACGTCTATACTAAGAAAATATGTTTCTAAATTATCTTCAAAATTAATTTTTAGGCCATCAATAAATCATGATTAGATTTTGTGCTATGATTATATTAAATATATATTTAACTATAATAATATTAGGGAAAAAAACTAATAACCAAACTTGGTTTTCATTGAATTTTCACATAAAAAAGCGCTAAACATTGGTCTCTACGCGTGGCAATCGATCCTTCCCGGCGCCCGCCACCTATAAACTCGTGGGCCTGCCTGTCTCCGTTATCGCATATACGATGTATCGTTATTGGGATGCGGCGGGCACTAATATTATACATATTATATCATACAAACATCGAAAAATAACCAAAAAAAAAAAAAGGTATAAATATTGTATGATAATATATCATCATGAACATTATCACCACATACCTTATGGCTCCTTTGATGAAGCTCGACATGACGGCTATTCCCATCCCACTGCCGGACACGATGAATATCTCGACGAACTCACGTTTCCGCTTAAAATACTGCGCCACCATCAGTGTGGAACAATCCCTTGTCATGCCCACTCCAATCCCTGAAACGAACACGAAGCGAACAAATCGTTATAGATTTTTTTTATGACCATTTAATGGATCAAGCGAGCAAGACATAAAAGTTCAATACGACTGTAAATATCAGGAGTACAAATATCGTATTTTTTCTACTATGTTTAAAATCAAACATAATATTATACGTTTAATGATACATAAAAAACGATAGTAATAGTTTACAATTGTTCAGTAATTTAAAAACTGTTTTTATGTAAATCGTGATTTTTTTCTAAGCCATTTATCAAAATAATCTACTGTTTATTAATATTCATTAATTTGTCTCCGTCTTTCGCAATATCATTTTTTTTTGGCACCTGACATTTTATGATGTCAAGTTTTTTTGCATATTATATATTATCATGTATAATAGATCAAATAGCATTGTTCACAAAAAAAAAAAAGAATGATTTTAGTTTTTTCACCATCGAGTAAAATGTATTTATTACTCTGTCTATACGGTTATAATATAGCACCACGAATGCAAAGAAAAAACTGAGAGGAGTAGATAGAGAGAAAGAGAGAAGAGAGATAAAAAGGGATAGATAAAGAGAGAGAGAGAGAGAGAGAGAGAGAGAGAGAAAGAGAGAGAAAGAGAGAAGAGATATGAGAAAGACAGGGAGAGGAGGAGATTAAATGGATTGACAGCGTAAAAGGAGAAGGACGCGTACGTCATATTGCATAATACGGAGGACTCACTCGACTGTACTTTAACGTGCCGCCGAAACGTGTGGCCGATGAGCTCCGTCGGTTTTCGAACGTCTGAAATTATTATTTACTACGTGCGTAAGTCACCCTGGGGCGCATTAAGGTTTCCCGTATGCACCTACGCCGGCTTAATAACGACGTCTCCTAAAAGGATTTTCGGCCTCTCATCGCCGCGGCACGTGCTCGTTATTACACCTTATTAGACACAGTCGCTGCAGACGATTCATGCGCACAGGTTCCCACGCGACGATAGAACGAACACATGTTTGAATAATATATGTTAATGACGATATTGCGTAAAAGCGAGAGAACAACAAAATCGATTGCAAACGGGTGCTCTACCCGAATAATATAATATATTACCGTTCGTCACAGGTGCCCAGGCACTCTGGCGCCGCAAAGTGAACATTTTTCTTCAAAACTGGCAGACACTATATTATGGTTTAGACCATACCTATTCGTAACCACAGATTTGAAATTCCTAACCTAAGTCTACTCTCAGATACGCAAACGTTATGCCAGCACCAGATCGTACAAAACAATTTACATAGAAATTTCAAATTTCTTCTAGGAGTCATAGTAACCGATTCTTAACCATTTTCAACCACATCATAATTGAAATTTGTAACCTGAATCTGTTGTTACAAATCAGTAACTAAGCCATGGCGGTTTTAATCTTAAACAAAAATTGTCACCTTGTCGTACAACTGTCTTACAAAATTATTAGTAGGTAAAACGAGGTACAGGAAAAGTCTTGTGAGATCGTCGTCGCCAAAAAAATATATTTTTATTTATTTTTATTTTATTTACAACCCACGAGACAATTTGGGTGCAAAACGAAAAAATACATATTTTATGGACGGTTGATACATCAAAAACATTGTAGGCCGCTATAATAAAACACTAATAAAAATCACATTATTCAACACACATTAGCACGCTGGTGACGTAAGCATATAATTTTTCCACTACTATATTAAAAGGAACACATAAAAGTATAAAAGATAATATAATATTATTATTTGAAAAAAAATATAAATAAACGTTTTGTGTAATTGGACACTTAAAAAAATAATCATAAAATGGATACACCGGCCCCACTCTCTTATAATGTAGTGTATGCTCGTACACAGTGAAACCATTAAATTTATTTAAATTTACGAACGTTTTAAAACACGGGGATCCATAAAAAACGGTGGCGAAAAACCCTAAGCAACATCCCTTCGCGCGGTTACGCAAACCGAACGCAACAGTAAACGAAAAATTACGACGACCGTATAATGTAAAAATATATAAACAGGCCTCGGCATGAGATTATTATGAAACGACGCTGTCGTAAAAAAGTTCGAGGGTCCACTGCAAACATATGACATTGTTGAATTGTTTTGGAAACTGTGCAAAAGTGGTGTTGGCGAAAGATTAACCGCCGGTGGTTCCGTGCTTGTGTAGGTGAAACTTTTACTTCCACGTGTAAGGGCCATTGTTCTTTAAAGTTCAATGGCACCGTAAAAAATACGTTAACCAAAAAGCGCGCGCCAAAACAGTACGATGAAAGTTCTCATCAATTTGACAACAGTGTTAAACGGATAGTCGAACGGCAGCGCTATGAAACGCAAATCTGATGAATCGATCGAGATAGACATAAAAAATACCTATTACCGGGTTATTAAAAATGTACTTATTGCATATTAAAAGCAATTGTAAAAAAGTTCAATTATATGAAATAACATGATATCAATGTAATAGTATGATATGAAATACGGTGATCCATTTGAGTGTCTATCATTATCGAGATTTTTATGATTTCATGTAATTATTATTTACGATGAGGCAGAATATTTTTTTGGTGTATTTAGACATCAGTGGTTCTCGACATTTATTTCACGACGGCACCCTAACTTAAGTCTAAATAAATGGTAACAAACTTAAATCAAACCATTTTTATCGGTGGCACACTACACGCTGTTGCAGTGTGTCGCGATCCATCGGTGTTTACGCACTTTAGAATTATTGCACAAATATCTAATTTTTTTCAAACATTTTGTTTTGCTTTAAGAATAAAGTAAAAGACTTTTCGACACGAAAATTGTAGGCATTTAAATAAAGATAAACTCACATAATACTTATAATATTATTTACATCGCTTTACTTGGTGTGCTGTTCAAATTTTAATAAAACTGTGGATTTGGTCCATTTGGATTTGTGATCTGGATTTGATTGACTGCTACACACAACTATTTTGCTATTAGTCTGAATATAAATATAAATATTTATTAAAAACCTAGCTCTTTTACCTCTATTATGACTGTACCTACGTGTAATTCGTGTTATTAACTTGAAGATTTGTCAAATGTACCATTGCATTAAACTTTTATGTAATTTAGTCCTTAAAATGACATAGTACGCTTGCCTATAGGCGAATTGGTACATTAAACAATAATTATTTAGACATATTAATTTGGTATAGCTACACGTCCTTGGTTTAAATTCAAAAAATAATATCTACTGTACACCACCATAATACATCTGCAAACCGTTTTCGTATTTATGCCTAGAAACTTGGGTTATTATTCATGGCGTTCGAGAGATAGAGTAATGCAAAGAGTTACCGGATCGATCTGCTCATAAGTATTTACCCACTATAACGGTCGATAGTATTTGTAAATAAGTTGTTTTTGATACTATTTAAATATTTTTATTGAACAAAATCATTTTCGAAATTAGATTCTACTAAGAATCAAAACCGATGTTCGGTTATCATTTTTTTTTCAAGAGACAATATTTCAGTTCCATAGAATAAAATTAGCATAGAACATTTCAATTACCTTTCTCCGTCTTTCTAGGTTTGTATTCGAATTAAACGCACGATTTACTGTTCCATACCATTGCTTAAGTAATTCAATATAAAATTACAATTTTTTTTTTTGTTTCGTTTTATTAAAAAGTACATCAGCGGCCACGGAAGCCATTGGAGACAATATCGAATAAAAACGCATGTACTGATTGATAGCTTAAAATAAAAATAAGTAGATCAAATTATATTTGAATAGGTTGATTGTATCGGTATAGGGTCTGGACTGAAAATGAATTGAAGGTGGGTAGAAGGGAGGCTTTTCTCCTCGTTCTCGTGTTGGAAATGACGGCATTCAGTTATAGTGTATAATATTATTATGTTATTACAAAGTTAACTACTAAACGCACTAAACGTACAATAAATAGTAACAGGCATCTGTACAGGCAATATAATTAGAGTGGTCTAAGTGCTTATAGTTAGATCGTATATTATAATATTACCGATCAACACATTGAGAACTGTGTAATTACCTCTATGGAAATATACTATATATTATGATATCGATATGCGTTTGAAGCAAAATTTCCGGTGACTTAACTTTGATTATAATTATTGGGTAGGTGTAATATGGTATATTGCTTTTGTTTGATAACGGAATAATTGACTTGTATACATTATGTTGTAAAGGGAACGCAGAACTTTTGTTTTGTTGGCTGGATGTAGAATGCGATCAAAAATTTTACCATAGAACCGTACCATGTTTTGTCAACAGTAGTCGCGACCATGGTTGGCAAAAGTTCAAACTTTAAACTTTTTTCATCGTCGAAGAAGTTTTTGATAAGTCAATTAAAACGGGATTTTTGTGCACCGTATTATTATCTTTTTCGCCAGAGTTCGAAAACAATTTACCACCCTTCGGTACTTTTCGTGATAATTGAAATAGCTAAGCGTAATAACTCAGGTTTAATTTCACTAGGTATATATCATTAAATAGTTATATGTATCCAACTCGCTTCGTTATTTTTTTAAAAAAAAGGGTACTCGTCTTTTATAATAAGTTCAAAATATTAAAATCTGTTGTGTAAAAATACATTAGTAAAGAACTGCCTTTTAATATTTATCTGTTAATAGACTTTCTTCATTGGCAATAATACTAGCTACTTCTGTCTTTTATAGTATGGGCTTTATTTGGTGTAATTTAAAAATAAATACCTACTGAAGGAACTCAACAAAAAAGGACAACGTTGTAAAATTCGTATTATATATTACGTCGTAATAAAATGGATTTTTCTTAGAACTCGAATTTAATGTTTTAGACGCAAATATTATATTATGCGTGTTCGTGAAATGAAAAATGCTAATTTAAAATTTGTTAGGAGAGAACCACAACTTTTTTCACATGCTCTGCTATAGACGTTTTTGTGTGGAAAAAATAATAATAATAAAAAGTTATCACAACGGTTTATTTATTCCTTTTGACACACA